TCAAACGAGCGAGTCCATGTTCTCTAAACTAGTGGACTATATTAGTCTTTCCTACTTGAGAAACAAAAAGGGTTTTCCAAAACAGAAGAAAAGCAATGGAAGGTTTAAAATAACCCAACTATGAATCTTTTGAATGTTTAGCAGGAACTTATGGTTCATCATATATTGTTCACTGTCTTTTAAGAGGCTCTTCCAATTTGCTCAAGTTGTTGATTCATCATTTTCAGCATTTTCATATTATTCTTTTGACCCAATGATGAGTTACAGAGATAGAGTTGAGAACTGTGTGGTTGTTTCTATATTAACATATCAAAGAAGCACTACCAGTAGTGAAAAGGATATCCAATTAATGAAAACCCCAAGAATATTGAGGCTTTATTCTTTTGCTGTGATAATTAAATATTAGGGCTTTTTTTAACTAAAGATTAGTCTAGTGCTTTAATTATGTTCAACTTGGAAGCTCGGAAGGGTTGCTAAGTAGAACTAGGGACATACCTATGATTTTAGGTTAGATGATGAACTTCTAAAATTTTAGGGATAAAAGTTTATAATTATAGGGACGAAATCATATTATCAATAGAAAATCAAAAGAAAACATTCAAAATATATGATAATTTAAAATTTTTAGTGGGACAACTGTCTCGGCCACCCTCAATCCATTTATGGACAGAACCACCATCTCTAGTGACAAACAAGTTGCCAGTGCAAATCAACAAATAAGGTAGCAAATCACTGAGATGAAGAGCCATTAAATTTGCCATAATTATTAACTAATTGACATTCACATAGGCGTGTGATCAAATCAGAATTTCTTTTTCTTGATTTGGATTTGAATTTCCAAGAACTTTACCTTGGTAAATGGCTTTTACATAAATGTGGATATATTTTTTTAAAGAGCAAAAGCTTTCATTGGTTAATGTAGCTTGTGCCTTCGGCAATCATGGGAGGACCGAGGCTAAGCTACACTTGAGTGCCATAGCATTCAAATTCTTATCTTTTCTTCTATTCTTTTCCACTAACGGATGAATAGCACAGATCCTGTGACCACCAACTGTTTTTGAAAAATCATTCGATAATTTAATTTAAATATAATTATGAATATATTTAATTAATAATTATAATTAATTTTATTGAATTAAATGAGATTGAACCACTAATTACTTAGTCTATTTCTTACATAGGGAGGTATAATAAGAGTGATTAGTCTTGGTTATAATTTATAATAGAGAAAATAATTTCAGTGACAAAAAATGTCTTATAATATACGATTTTAACCAACTTTTTTTGGATTTGCCAAAATGACCAACTAAATCGCAATGCGATCGATAATTCGTAACGCGATCTCCGATATCGCAAATCAGTTTCCAGATTCGCAACGCGAACTTCGACTATCGCATTGCGATTTACATATTCGCATTGCGATAGTCCAAGTTCGCGTTGCGATAGTCGAAGGTCGCGTTGCGATTTTCCAAATTCGTTGCGATAGTCCAAGTTCGCGTTGCGATTTATTCCAAATTTGTTGCGATAGTCCATAGTCCAAGTTCGCTTTGCGATTTACTACAAATTCGTTGCGATAGTCCAAGTTCGTTGCGATAGTCGAAGTTCGCGTTGCGATAGTCGAAGTTTGCGTTGCGATTTATTTCAAATTCGTTGCGATAGTCCAAAATCGCAATGACTGGTGGTATTTCATTTGTTTCTTAAGAATTTTCTCTGAAAAAATAGTATTCGTACGGACGTGTCAAAGACACGTATTACCACGACCACGAGGCGAGGCGGACGGCGGCGGCGGCGGCGCGCGAGAGTCTTCCTTGTTCTCTATCACTCAACAAGGAAGTGGGAAAGTCAAGCCTTAAATACCATTCCCAATAGTGTTTCCAATACTATGTGAGATTGAGCATTACAAACACTTGTTTCCAATACTATGTGATTATTCAGGAAACAATTAACAATCATGCCTCTTAAAATAACTGAATCAACAACCAATTGCATTAGTATCAAAACATTAAAAAAAATTGCATCACTCGCGAGAATAAAAAAAATTGTTATCGTGCAATTACAATCAATTGAAAATAAATTAGAATTGCATGAAAACTAAACGAACCACAAATACTTTTCATACATATATTAAAGTCATTAACTATAATTCACAAATAATATCACTATTTAAGGCTCAATCCCACATAGTATTGGGAACAAGTGTTGGTAATGCTCAATCTCACATAGTATTGGAAACACTAATGGGAATGCTATTTAAGGCTTGGTTTTCTCATTTCCTTGTTGAGTGATAGAGAACAATGGAGACTCTCGCACGCCGCCGCCGCCGCCGCTGTCTGTCTCGTGATCGTGGTCGTGGTAATACGTGTCTTCGACACGTCCACGCGAATACTATCTTTTTAGAGAAAATTCTTAAGAAACAAATGCAATACCACCAGTCGTTGCGATTTTGGACTATCGCAACGAATACGAATTTGGAAAATTGCGTTGCGATAGTCGATGTTCGCGTTGCGAATCTGGAAACTGATTTGCGATACCAGAGATCGCGTTGCGAATTATCGATCGCATTGCGATTTAGTTGGTCATTTTGACAAATCCAAAAAAAATTGGTTAAAATCGTATATTATAAGGCATTTTTGATCACTAAGATTATTTTTTCTTTATAATATCAAACATAATAATTATACTTTATCAACTAAGTACGGTTATGTATTAAAATTATTTGTAACTGTAAGAGATATAATTACAATTTTTTATTCAAAATACCAAAGTATTAAGCATTTTTTGTTATATATATATATATATATATATACTTAAAATTTTAATTTTCAGAATTATTTATGATTTTTTTAATTTTACAAAATAATGTAAAAATATAAAATTTTAGAAAAACACTAACTAGGACTAATCATGGAATTGATTCCATCTACCAGCTAGCTAGGCCCAAGGTTCTCCAAGAATGCTACTACCTACAACTATAAAGCCACCTGGTGGCTAAAAAACAAAATACAAACATCTTTTTATTAATTATTAAACGAGATATGATCTTTTTACCTGCAAGGGAAGGTGGATCTGCCCTTCATGGAATCTAAAACCTAGCTCATTGTGAAGCAGTTTTATTTATTAATCTGTAATTGCGTAGATACGTACGATGTTTTTTATTTGTATGATTAGCTTAGTTAGCTGAGATTTTATCCACAGCATAAATCTTCAGGGTTAGGTACAGAACTACTGATATTGAAACCTTAAACTGTCATTTGATGAAGAGAAAAAGGAGGAAGACTGAGCTGTACTCACCCAGGGAAGAACCCTTAAAAGTATTAATTGATGGATCGATTCCCTCTCAGGCTCAGCTTTGTGTGTGCTTTGCATATTATATTTTTGCAGAATCCATTTCCAGCCAATCTCACATCTTCTAAAGCAAACGCAGATTTGTTTTTCTTTTGCAGAAGAATTATACACACACACAAATCTTGCATCAAAAGCTGCCACTAAGTTGCTTTTATATATATACTACAAGTTGATTAAGACCTTTTCAAGTGGGATAAAGGCTTGGCAATGAGAACATATACTACAGTGGACGTGGTGAGGCATATGTTCTTGAACGAAGCAGAATATCAGAACCCATTTCTCGGCTTTTACTGTGGCCCAGATCACCAAGCAACTGTACAGCTGGTAGAACTAAAGGTGTGTTTTGATTCAGCCCTAGCTTTAACAGGCAGAATTTTGTTGGGAAAATTGACGTCTGAACAAATTGATGAATAGCTTCGCTCTGGGTTTCACATCATTGCCTTATTCTTTATATTCGTTTTGGTTGAAAGTGATAGAGCTTTTAAGATACACTCTTGATGTTAACAGGGCTTTGTCTTTAACCAGAATGTTTAAAAGTTAAAGCTGAGAAAAGAAGAAGATATGTGTTGGGGAAATGGGAATGGCCTAAATTGGCACTATACTTTATATATATATTACTTCCTATATTATAGGTGTTCTTAGGGGGAAAATAGTTAATTTGCATTCATTTTTATAGATGAAGATTGAATCTCAATCCTATGAATAAGAGATGAGATGAACAATCATCACAATACCTCTCATGGTTAATTAATATATTTTTTCTTATAGTAAATAAAAAGATATGATCAATTTACACTAAATAACTTTTTTTTTTAATTTTACAATATTCTATGATTATTGTATGAATATAAATAAATAACTAAAATTAAAAAAATTTACATTCACGTTATCCATTTTCCCTTTATCTGTAAAAAATTATTACTTATTTTCAATTATGGATCTTAGCCATCTATCTACATGTATATAATAATTCTAAATTAATCTACGACTAAAGAAATTTTACACCCTACAATTAGATACTATCCCATAAATAAATAAATACCGCTTTACTAATCTTAACAATTATCCTTAAATCATCCATATTTGTATTATCTCTGCTCACGGTCCTTGGGCAAGCCGAGTCCTTGACCAATGACTGCAGTTGGGCTTTTTAAAAGCAGTATATAGGAGAAGTGTAATATCTCTCGGATCCAAACAAATGGAGGTTTAAATCTCTGGAATATTGTACGCAGAAAACAAAGAAAAATAGGAGTGTTTGATAATTATTTTGGGAGTTAAGCTATTTATTATAATGCACGTGGAACTTATCACGGAAATAATGAATTTAATAAAATACATTATAAAAATAAATCTCATTATATGAAATAGAATAAAATTTTATGGAATTTATCACGAGAAGGGACAAATTCTAATTATTTATTATGTTTTATGAAACTTGTCACTTCCTCGAGACAAGTTCTACACGCACTGTAAGAAATGACGGAGATCTTAAAATAATTCACAAACACTCTGATTTTTCAAAATATTTTTACCGCTTGCATTATTTAGTCGAAGAAGTCAACAAATGGAGCCCCATTTGTATTATCCAAATAAAAGCTTCTATATATATGGGCCTTTAAACTGGGCTTTATTTAATCAAACGGAGGCCCGAAAGACACACTAGAAAACCCGAGTCGATCATTTCGATTCCGAGGTTCCCAAATTCATTGGACTCTCTCTGCGCGCAGATTTTTAGGGTTCGTAGCGGATTTCAATTTCCTCTGCCGTGTTTCTTTAGGGTTTAAGCTACAGATCAATTTGTTTGATTATCACTTGTTTTAATTGTAATTACAGTGAATCAATCAGAGGAGAGGAAGGAGAAATTACGAGTCCGTATAAATGGATGCATCACAAGCTTCGTCGTTAGGGACTACGGGTGGGAGCGGTGGAAACGGCTTAGTAAACAATCAAACCAATGACGCGGTAAACGCAACGCCGAATGATGATCCAAAGCAGAATCTGAATCAAGTAATAAACTCCATCCAGAAAACCTTAGGTCTTCTCCATCAACTATACCTCACCGTCTCTTCTTTCAATGCCGCTTCACAGCTCCCCCTCCTTCAACGCCTGTAATTTTTTTTCATCAAAATCCTATTTATTTTATTTTGCAAGTTTTTTAGCTTTTTGCACCATTGCTGATCTCATTAGGGCTTTCAATTTTTATGTTGTTTTTGTAGTAATTCATTAGTTACGGAGCTCGATAACATGGCTAAATTATCTGAGAAGTGTAATATTCAAGTGCCAATGGAAGTTCTTAAGTCGGTTTGGTTTCCTTTTATTATTACTTTTATGTGTCATTTTTGACAAATTTAGTTTCTTTTCTTTGGTTGCTAATAGTAACTTGTCCGTTTTTGTGTTAGTTTGATTGATGATGGGAAGAACCCTGATGAATTTACGAGGGATGTTTTAAACGACTGTATTGCAAAAAATCAGGTTACTAAAGGCAAAACCGATGCCTTCAAGGTAGTTCTTATTTCCCCTTATAGGATGGTTTCGTTTAATTTTATATTATCAAGCACAAAATGATCTTTATTTACTGTAATATTGAATCTTATAGAGTTTACGGAAGCATCTTCTTGAAGAGCTCGAACAGACATTTCCTGATGAAGTTGAATCCTACAGAGAGATTCGTGCAAGTGCTGCTGCTGTGAGTTATTTTGATAATTATGCTTTCATAAATGTTATCTATGAGTAGTAATTAGTTATCCTAAACGCCTTGACTGATGATATGTTATTTGTATAATCGTTGCATTTTGGTTCTTGTGTGGAAAATCTCCTTATTCATGGCCTCTTGACATATCTTTCTTTCCGTCAATGCTAGTCTACTCTCACTGTAACCTCTTGTTACCCTCTTTGATTTCATCATCGGATGGATGCTGTCTTTCCTGCTTTTTGAAAATGTCTAGGCTTATTTTCTTCTTATCTTTTTTTTTTCTTTTTGTTGCATGTCTTGTTATTCCCATGCAGGCTTGCACAGTTTTTTGGGTTAGATAAGGAGTGAAATGAAGGCATTCTAAAACATTGTTTTCCTGTCCAAAACTTTCTTTGCATGCGTGTCTTATGACATAATGTTTTTCTCCCATTTTCTTACTCAACTGCTCTCTGCTTGATAAAAGTGGAAACAAGCATTTAATTATTTTATCTATTGGTTGAGGAAGAACTTAAGAAGAATTGAATATCTGTTTTTACAATATCTGAACTTAGTACGCATCTTATAATATTTACAATGCATGGTTTAATTTCACAAACTTAGATTGATATGAACTATGAAGTACTTAAATGATGAAACCTTGAACTGTGCATTTCAAATGTTTGCATGGCTTAATGAGCATAAAGTTAGTATGAGACTACATTGAAATTGTTAGCCTGATAAGTTTATGAATATTTCTGTTGTTCCCTTGAAAATCGAATCTCATTTGTCATTCTTTTTTCACTGATTATGTCAAGCTAAAGCTCTTCATACAATGCAGGAATCTAAACGGCTTGCTCAATCACAAAGTATTTTACAGAATGGGGATGTAAAAGTCAAAACTGAGCTTTAGATGCTTGTAGTTGGAGTTCTTCCCTCCCCCACCCCACCTCTTTTTTTTATCTATATAGGTTTCTGTATGTACTAGATTTGCTCAATACATTCTGATGTAACAACATTTCTGGCTTGTATTAAGAATTCGACAATTTGCAGTGCTCTCTCTGATTTTAATTTCCCTCTTGTTTGCTTCATTTGTACGTACGATTAAATGATTAATATAAACGACTAAAGGGGTTTCTGATGTGCTATAGTCTTTCAAAGAAAGCACTTTTGTCTGACCTTGTTAGCATGCTCTGTGGGTACAAGCACGATACCCTACACCTAGGATTTATCTGTTGCCATGCTTATATCATGCAAAATTTGACATTCTCGAATGCTTGTTAAAATTCTTGCTATTCTCTGTATTTTGGTTTCATTTTAGCTTTCTGAACCGGGAAGATAGAAATATGTGTGTGTGTGTGTGTGTGTGTGTAGAGAAGATCAATATTTCACATTGAATTCAGTTGGTGGGCTTTTGATGCAAGGGGCCTGCATATTTCATTTTCCATTTAACTTCACCAGCACTCCCACCAGTTCGAACTACAACTTGACTCATCAAGAAAACAATTGAACTCGAAGCTGCACCCATTTTCCGATGAAGTCAAGGAACCATCAGTGTCTTCTATCTTGTTCAGAACCACCCTATCTTCATCCCTTCTCTCAACATTTCTGTTATTGTCATTGGATGAAAACAAATGGTCATTTTCTTTGAATATAAGGGTAACCTTCTCGTTATGTCGAATATAGCACCACTGTTTTCGTCTGCTCTGTTTGATCCATTAGGTTGGTTTCCATGTCCCATTTCAAGCTGATTCTTCAGTTTTTGCAGCTGTTGGGAAACCACTAGGATTAAACCGGCAATATCAAGGTGCTTCAAATTCAGTTCAGCATGCATGGCGAATGATAAAGGAAATACCTGGATACGCAAGGATTGGTTTTCTCGTTTCAAGGATTCATATCTAGAGGAAAGAGCATCATAACTGTCTTTCAAAACGTTGTAATCTCTTTCAATTTGCTTAGCTTTTGATCTAGCTCTCCTATTCTGGAACCAGATAGCAATCTGTCGAGGCTGCAGTCTGTCGGAACCGTCTTTCGGTTGGGCCCCGGAATTGGGCTTCGACTTAGATTAAATGTATTGGAGTCGCCACTGACCATTTATTTTATTAAAAATGGGTTGATCGGATACCTTATTTCTTACCTGATCTGCGTTGTACCAGAAATGTGTCGGGTTCGGGAGTCGGTTACGGTCAAGGAAGGATTAGCACCCTTGAACCACCCTTTCGGTACTACGTAATTTCCAGTTGTCTTTATCAAGAAAGTTGTAATTTTAAATTAAAAGGTAAAATTTGATCCTAAATTACGTACCACTGATTAATTGAATGAAGACCATTAAGAAGAAAACGTTACGTTTGGAGTGGTGAAAATAAATAAGATATAACAACCACAAAACCAATGATACAAATAAGAGGAGACAATACAAATAAACTAATGATAAATAAGATAAATAAAGGAAAAGAAATAATAAAAAAATATACTAAATAAATATATATATACATATATGCATGAATAGCTAAAAAAACATACAAACAAAGAAATGAAAATTATATAAAAACAAAGGAATATAAATAAAACATGTATTAAATAAAAAAGGAAACACAATAGAATAAAAATAAATAAAGTAAATGAAAAAATATAAAGAATATACATATAATAATAAAAGAAAAAAATATATGTTTATATACGCTACCAATAATACTTAAAATAATAAAAATAATGATGGTTATGTATATATATATATATATATATATATATAAAATAAAATAAAAATGTACATAAGATATATATATATATATATAAGGGAATAAAATATAATAATAATGAAAATATAGTATATAATAATAGTAGGGATTAAATTGAAAACGAAATAAACTCAAGGGTCAATTTACAAGGATTTCGGGTTCAATAATCGATTCAGAGGACCAAATTAAATGTTTTTGAAACTGGAGAACCAAAACGCAAATCTCTCGCTTCTTGCAAAAACACGCGGGTCCGAGGAGTTCATCAGGTCGGGTCGGGTCGTGAGGCTGGAACGGGCTTAATATATGACTCAAACAAATTTTTTTAGTTTCATTTCTTTCCTCACAAATCAAAAGCCCCCCTCCTATTTTCATTTCTCTCTCGCCTGTTCTTCATATATGAAGAACACGGCGGATTTCCAGAATCCGGTAACCATACACCGCCTCGCCGCCGCCGTTGAACGGCGACGGCCACCGTTCATCGGCGGCAAAACCTAAAAAAAATGGTTTTTCCGAAAGCCCTTCTCTCCCTCGACATGAAAAACACCACCATTTTCTAAAATAAGCCTTGTAGGGGTGCGGATCTAGAAAAGAAATTTTCGTACACCCCTACTCCGGTCATCGGCTTTTAATGTTTTTCTTTGGGGTTTTCAAGCACAAAACGCGAGTAACTACGCATGCAAGAAACCAAGGACGAACAAAACGAGGTAAAAACGCTACCTTTATTTCCTTTCAAACGTTGTACAAAGATTCGGCTTGCTTCCCTATATTTGCTATAGATGTGTGGTGTTTGTGTACCAGTCTCCTCCTCTATTTCTTTCCTCTAGATCTCTATTTATAATACAACAAATACCCTATCTTAGAATTTTAATCCGAGTAAAACTCGGCTTGGTTGTTGAAGTCCTAAACTAACACGCTGTCTTGCTTGTTGTTTATGGTTGGCTTCGTGTGCTTTCCTTGCGCCGAGGGGATCGGGAACTGGTGCCGAGATAACCGGGGATAGGCTCCTGGTGAGACGTGGGACACGAGGATTCTCGCAAGGGGACAGTTGCGGCGCTGAAATGAGTGAAGGTTAAAACCCTACAATAGGGTCTATTGTGGACCGTTGGATCTCATCTAGATCCAATGGTCGAGGCGTTTGGCGGCTGGGACAAGAGGGAGGCAAGCTAGGGTTTCCAGAAAACCCTATTCCTATGCGTGGTGGGTTGCACTCCAGCGATTTTTTGGGCCTGCAAATGTTTTTTTATTTGTGAAACGGACCTGTGACATGTAAAATAAATGTATGTAAATGTAATAAACTATTATATAATATAATCTATAATGTAAGTATATTATGCAATGTAACGACATTAAAGGACATATATTATATAACGGGACAAAATTTGGTGTCTTCAGCTGCCCCTCTTTGCTCATTATCGTGTAACGGGAGCAAAGATTAAAAGACACAAATTTCAGCCATATCGAATATCCTCTGCCGTAGAGTTGAAATCCGATTATTGTTCTGAGTCCAATATCCTCCGCTGTGAAGTTGAAATTGGTTCTGGAACTGGAAAATTGTTTATTGACAGCGGTCCCTTCGTTGTGAAGTTGAACTTGTGTTGTCTGGAGTCCAATATCCTTCGTTGTGAAGTTGAAATTGGGAAATTGTTGATTGACAACCAGCGGTCCCTTCGTCGTGAAGTTGAACTTGCGTTGTCTGGAGTCCAATATCCTTCATTGTGAAGTTAAAATTGGGAAATTGTTGATTGACAACCAGCGGTCCCTTCGTCATGAAGTTGAACTTGCATTGTCTGGAGTCCAATATCCTTCGTTGTGAAGTTGAAATTTGGAAATTGTTGATTGACAACCAGCGGTCCCTTCATCATGAAGTTGAACTTGCATTGTCTGGAGTCCAATATCCTTCGTTGTGAAGTTGAAATTGGGAAATTGTTGATTGACAACCAGCGGTCCATTCGTCGTGAAGTTGAACTTGCATTGTCTGGAGTCCAATATCCTTCGTTGTGAAGTTAAAATTGGCTCTGAAATTGAGAAATGTTTGTTGACAACCAGCGGTCCCTTCGTCGTGAAGTTGAACTTGCATTGTCTGGAGTACAATGTCCTTCGTTGTGAAGTTGAAATTGGCTCTGAAATTGAGAAATGTTTGTTGACAACCAGCGGTCCCTTCGTCGTTAAGTTGAACTTGCATTGTCTGGAATCCAATATCCTTCGTTGTGAAGTTGAAATTGGCTCTGAAATTGAGAAATGTTTGTTGACAACCAGCGGTCCCTTCGTCGTGAAGTTGAACTTGCATTGTCTGGAGTCCAATGTCCTTCGTTGTGAAGTTGAAATTGGCTCTGAAATTGAGAAATATTTGTTGACAACCAGCGGTCCCTTCGTCGTGAAGTTGAACTTGCATTGTCTGGAGTCCAATGTCCTTCGTTGTGAAGTTGAAATTGGCTCTGAAATTGAGAAATGTTTGTTGACAACCAGCGGTCCCTTCGTCGTGAAGTTAAACTTGCGTTGTCTGGAGTCCAATATCCTTCGTTGAGAAGTTGAAATTGACTCTGGGTAAAACCTGCAAAGATATGCATATATGCGATGTTATGGATGTCATGCTCTTAGGTATGCCTAAAATGTATATGCAACATATGTTATTCTGGGCTCTGGAGAGAAATCTCGATCTCCGGTGGCCCGTCGTTGTTGACTCTTGATTTTGAAAGCTTGAAGTTCCGATCTCTGATCTTGAATTCTTCAAATGTTTGAATCTGATGTGCACATTCTGGTTTTTTTTTTTGGAGATGCTCCTCAACCATCTTAAGCATGTGCATGAGCCTTGATCGGCTTTTGGGTACCTGTACTTTTCAATAAATCTTTGTACAGTAATATGCGATTATCTTTCACAAAAAATAAATAAATCATTAGGTTTAAATCTAATTCAAGATGCTCATAAGGAATTAGAGGAAATATTGTATTTATTCATAAGGGAGGAGAAGAACAAATAATACATGGCAAACATTCTAGAAAACGAATACACGATGATGTGTAAATGAATGTCTTAGATCTCGATAACGTGGGCACTTCTGAGCTGAAAAGCCGTTTGGTGACCTTGAATGCAGCCTTTGCCAAAGGATCTTTGAAAATGCGACAACGTTTGGGGAGGGTGCAACATTTCTCCGATTTGTTGAGTTCGTAGAAGATTCATGTGCTGGGATGTTTCCACCGTTAATATCCAAATCGCCCTTTCCGGGTTTTCAACTTGGACTCATCCTTGGTTGCAAGACGCCCTTTGCGGGTTTTCATCTTGAACCCACCTTATTTTCTCTTCTTTTGTTCTTTTTTCCTCTTTTCTTTTTCTTTTCTCAATTTAGGGCGCCCTTTCGGGTTTTCACCCTACGCGTTCTTTTCTTCTTCTTCTTTTTTTTTTCCTTCTTTGTTTTTTCTTTTTTCTTTTTTCTTTTTTTTTCAACTTAGAACGCCCTCTCGGGTTTTCATCCTAAGCGAAGTATTTCTTGACTGCGTCCGAGGTAATGGGATGTGACAGTTCAGGTCCGTCCATTTCAGCCAGGATGAGGGCTCCTCCGGAGAAAGCCTTTTTCATGACATAAGGTCCTTCACAATTTGGCGTCCATTTTCCTCGGAAATCTTTCTGGACTGGCCAAATTCTTTTTAGCACTAGATCCCCTTCGCGGAATATTCTCGGGCGCACCTTTTTGTCATGTGCCCGAATCATTCGTTTCTGATAGATTTGACCATGATGAATGGCTTTCAGTCTTTTTTCCTCTATCAGATTAAGCTGATCATATCTGGATTGTACCCACTCTGCATCGTCTAGTTTGACTTCTGTCAAGACCCGAAGAGACGGAATCTCGACTTCAATGGGTAAGACTGCTTCCATTCCATAGGCTAGTGAAAACGGAGTTGCCCCAGTCGAGGTTCGTACCGAGGTTCTATAAGCGAACAAAGCAAAAGGTAACTTCTTATGCCAATCTTTGTAAGTTTCAGTCGTTTTCTCCACTATCTTCTTAATGTTTTTGTTTGCTGCTTCTACTGCTCCGTTCATCTTTGGTCTGTAAGTAGTGGAATTGTGATGTTTTATGTTGAACTGTTCGCAAGCAGCACTCATCATCTTGTTGTTCAAGTTTGTTGCGTTATCGGTGATAATCCTTTCAGGTAGACCATACCGACATATAATTTCTTTCTTCAGAAACTTGCAAATAGTGGATTGAGTGACACTGGCATATGACGCAGCCTCTACCCACTTTGTGAAATAGTCAATTGCTACGAGAATGAAACGGTGACCA